CAGCTCTGACACCTGAGGGACCACAAAGGGCAGGGGCTGTAAGTGGAGAAGAGTCTCCAGGTCAGGGCCTATGGTCTGCATTTTGTTTAAGGTCAGGCATATGTGGTTCCATAACCAAGACGGGAGTGCAGGAAACCTTATGTCTGACTACTGGTCAGGCCCACAGCTCTAGTCAAGCTTATCTAGACTCCAAGCAGGCAAGACCACATTCAGATTTGCTCATGAGCAGGGCTGAGGACTCAACACAGCACCTTGTACACTACAGACGCTCCGACACCAGACCGAATCCCTTAAGTTCTAAAGTTACTTCAACTCCAAACATTCGGACACAGACCCAGAGACTAAGCAGCTCACTCTCTCATGAAGTACGCTCACTCTCTCATGAAGTACGGTCTGTCTTTCCCCATCATCACTTTCATTGTTACGGCGAGGGCAAGCATAGTATTACAGAAAGAGCATGGGCTTTGAATCACATGGCTCGTGACACAAATCCACACTCATTCATTCACCAAATGTTGTTGAGCAAGTTACAATATTATCCACATCTGTAAGATGGACCTAAAACTCAGGAATTTGGAAGCAATACTGGGTGGTATATTAGAATATCACGTACTGGGGTGAAATAAATGCGGCCTACCCTGCTGAAGGACTGTGAGTTTTAAAAAAGGAAACTATGTGGTACTGCTTACTCTATACACAAGATTTTTCAAGACTGTTACTCAGCGATGGGTACCTCCTCTTCAGCCAGATGCACCCACCCACCCCGGAAGGTTTATAGTTGATGTAGTAGATGTTTATAGTCTAACTATCATCTGCCCAGGGCCAGGGAGGGCAGGCAAAGTGACATCTACTTGCAAAGGAAAGATCTCAAAGTGCCATCAGCATGGGCTCGCCACTGCGTCACCATGGCTGCAACACAACAAAACGCGCTCTCTGCTAACAAATGCTACGGACCTGGAAAACCAGAAGAATTTGGCAAGAACTGCTTCTTGCTGAAAACAGTGAGAGGACGAGAGGAGAGAAAAGGCCCCTGTCAGGAGTGATAACCAACAATGCTGGTTCTCCAGGACACTCGCCAGAAACACTCAAGGAGAAAATTCATGGTCACCTCTCGCATTTACACCTTTCTCATCCTTGGGTGAAAGGTGTAAGTGAGCCAGTTCCGTTGGGGAAAAACACTTCAAGAGATGTGCTCTGGAAGTGTGCCAGACAGCTAAACCTTCCCACTGACAGGAGCAGAGAGACGCCAGGGAACCCCGTAGGTCTGAAAGTGGAAGGTTCTAACGGCTACCAGAACTCTAGAAAAATAAAGCCGGTTTAAGACCAGAATCTGGAACATTGGAGCCACACAACCCAGAGCAGCTGTGAGGGTTGAGGGGCCCTACCAAAGTCTGGAGCACAGCCCTGAAATAATGACAATAATAAGCAGAGGGAAACACAGCCTTGCATGAGGCTCGGGAGGAAACATCGGAGCAACGAGTGCCTGGGCACCCACCACTGTGGCAGTGACCCCTCGAAGGGTCGTCAACTCACTGGGAGAATAAAAGACCCTGAACTGGGTCATATGCCCGGGCCACATGCTACTGCCCATGACAACCCCAAGGGGCAGGACGTAGGGTGACAAGGACGCCCCACCCGGCCTCAGAGCCAAAGCAGAAGAACCTTCGCTTCCCTCGCTGCCACTCTCAGCTCTGCCATTCATCGACTTGCCCGTACCCTTCTTAAATTGCATTTTTGTATCCTGCCAAGACCACCCCTCGAGATAACGTGTTTCCGACCATTATTCCCTGCTGTGCTAAGCGGTACTTCCTTTCGTCGGTTACAACAAGAGAAAGAAGAATCGGGGGTGAGACAGCAAAAGGGCTAAGGCTGCTTTCAGTAATTTGTTGTGGAAGAGGAAATGTTCAACAGCTGGGAATCACAAGGCATTGAAGTGGTGAGTGTGAACTTGGGAGACCTGCTGACTGTAAGGGTTCTGGGCTGAAGTGAGTCACTCCATGCGTATTTGTGAAAAACAAAACTGGACAAAGGCATAACTTATGTTAGAAAACCGCTCAAGTCACTCGGAGTACAGCAATGTTCTGATTCACAGGGCCCTTAGCTGATTGCAAACACACAAAGAAAAACACCTGCCAGCAGATGCCTCTCCTAATGGTCGGGAACTACCATGCACCACCAATCCTCAGATCGAAGATTCCAGCTCCAGATGAACTACCTAAACAGAGACTGGTCCCACCGACACAGACACCATGCAATAATATGGCCTGTGACAGACGAGGGACCCATACTGCAAAACCCAGAGCAATCTGTGCTGCCTCAAGTTTAAGTAATAATATTATAAGAAAAATTTAGTCTGGGTTTTGGCAAGTCAGGCACTATTCTTTACGCCTATCCACATTAGGAACAAGGAGGTGAAAGGTCCAGAGATACTTCATCAGCTCTGCAACTTTTCTGGAAGTCTGATAGTACAAAAAAACAAGGTTGGTGGAAATGTAAAGAATTTCTTGAAGCAAACACTTTCCCTGAGTCTTTGGAGCCACTGACTGTGCCGGGAGCTGGCGGTAAGTCTTCAAGATCTTCATTATTGTGTGCCTGCTTATGTGTGTGTGCATGTGTGCGTGCATGTGTGTGTGCGCGTGCGTGCGTGCCTGCCTGTGTGCATGCGCCAGCTGGAGTTACAGGTGGCCGTGACCTGTCTGTCATGGGGCTGGGAACCAAACTTTGGTCCTCTGCAAGAGCCGAAGGCACTCTTAGCCATTAAGCCACCCCCACAGCCCAGCCTCTGCCTTCTGAAAGAGCACTGGTATTCAGTCCTCTGTAGCCCCCAAGGGCACTGTACCCATATGTACACACATCTGCTGCACACACATATACACACATCATTAAAAATAAAATAAAATTTCCCTTAGAAAGTGCAGGAAATCGTGTCCATCGTGTTGAGGACATCCTGCTTCTGTTTCTGGTCACTGATTCATTAAGCCAAACAGCACAATGACAACTGATGGTGTTTCCATAACAGGTGTTACAGGTCATGCAGACGTGTCTTAAGCTAGACAGGAAGATGGTTACCAACTCTATGCAAATGATGTGTCATGCTCTATATGGGTGAACTTGGGCTGCCTCAGATTTGGGTAGCCAAGAGGGAGGGGGCCTGCCTGGCACCAACCCCCTCTCACTAGGGAGGGCAAACTCTCATAGCAAAAACAACATCAAAACCTACCAAAACACAAAATAAAGTTACTGAGATAATTAACCACCATTCACCAACTTACCTAAGTGGAAATGTGTTGTTAGGGATAATTAGCAAGCTCATGCATAAAAACATTAATTGCTTGTTCAAGAAGATGAGATAAAAAGGCAAGACGAGAAAAGTACTTTAATAGCATCTAAAGGATATTCTATCAAATCTTTCTAAAAAGCGTTAACAGAAAGAATGGAAATATATTACTGATTAAAAAGTCTTACCTTTGAAAATTGGGAGGGAATTGTCTGAATACTAGAAAAACGAACCAGTGTGACTACCAGAATGCTATGCTTTAGGACTTAAATGTGTCTTTTAAAAGGCCATGTGTTGAAAGACTGGTCCTCACACTATGGCGCTCCGGGGAGGTAGTAACACTTTCACAGGTAGGACCCGGGGCAGGGTGGGGACGGGGGGAAAGCAAGGTCACTGCATGACCCTGGAGGGACACTGAGATACAGGGCCCGCATCACTCTGCTTTGTGTTTTGAATATGAAGTGATCGGATGTCTCAAGCTCTTGCCACTTGGCCTCCATGCTGGTCTGCAACCTTGAACTGTGAGCAGAACTGACCCTTTCTCCTTGAAGTCTCTTCAGTCAGTGAACCTTATCACAGCGGGAGGGAAGAGCCAACACGCCAAGCCCAACATGCCAAGCCACTCTCACGTCTCAAGTGAAGGCACAAGAAACTACACAGTCCCTCATCCTAAATGGTCAACACAGATCTTTCTCTGAGTATTTATACCTATTTAAAATGAGATGCGTGAAGCTGGGACCCATGTGTAAGCACGCATCTCATTTATGCTCCGCACACAGCCAGAGGTAATTTTATATACTTAATGCAACATGTGAAATTTTTCCACTTGGGATATCACATTGGTGCTCAAAAGCTTTCAGATTTTGAAGTATTTCAGGTTACTTTTCTTTTCTTTCTTTCTTTTTTTGATTAGGGATGTTCAACCTGTAATCACAGCTCCAATTTGAAGCTCAGACTTGATCCCTAAAAACAGCTTCCACCCCCCATCCTCCCCACCACTCCCACCTCCGCCTCCCAATAGCATCAAAAATAAAATAAACAGATCCAACAGAATAACTGACACTCTAATCTATGCTGATCACTGGGCCGGGTCTCGGGGTCACCTTCAATCAACACACTAAAAAAAAAAAAAAGTTTTAACATCTTCCAAAGAAAATCAGATTCATAAAAATAATAGACAAAAATGCTTCTTAGTGTTGCTGATGAGAAATCAGATTACTGTTCTTAATGAATTGATTCGGTTTTATGCTCTTGATTGTACAGTGAGGGGTGACTGCGTCTCTGCATGTATTCAGCACAAATTGTACGTACTTCGGAGTAGAGGGAAGCATCACAGGGGGAGGCGGGTGAACAGGCCAGGTGTTAGTTTGTGGTCTCATGGCAGACAGAGCCCCAGCTGCCCGGGCCAAGTCTTTTCCCTATCCAGAGAAAAAAATAACCAGGCCTGTGTTTCATCTTGGAAGAAACTGTCAGACCAAGGGGCAGCCTTTGAACTCTGCCATTTGCACCTCTAACTTGCTCCTAGAAACTTTCTGAAGGCCACGGAGAGACAGAGCTCAGTAAACGGCCCACTTCTGTACAGACAATTATTAATTGAAGACAGCTGGGTCATTCGCTTTTTCTATGGCTGTAAATAATTAAAGTCTTTCTGTGTGTCAATTTCTGGCTGCTTTGCAATAGTCCTCAAGCCCACACCCGAGCAGAAGGAGTACATCCTACTTACAGTTACGAATGTTATCCCAGTCCGTTCCGGCAAAGAAAGGGTGGCAGCAGAGACCCTCAAACTTCAGTCTCTCTTTCTGGCCACACAGCAAACTCTGAATCAGATCAAGGAACTCACTGCTAACTTTGGGGTCATCTGGAAACTTCAAAAACCTCTATTCCAAAAAAAAAAAAAAAAAGATTTCCTTAACAGTTATTCAGTTTATGTCCTTAAGTGAAGAGGGAATTTCTCATACATAAAAGTTCTTTTCATTCTTTTTTTTAAATAAAGTTTTATGCCCTTATAACTTTAGACCAAAGGCATGTTCCTGAAATAAGTGGCCCGCTCACATCAGTGGGCCTAGCTCTTTTGTTGGGGTTCAATGTCCTCCGTGAGGTGACCTATGCATCCCTCTCCCATCCAAGCTCACACACTCCCCATCTCTCTCTCTCTCTGTTGTCCAACAGCACTGAGCTATTTCAAGCTCCCTGTACATCTCATGCTGTTCTCTCGGCCTAGAACTCCCTCCACCCAGCACCAACCCCAGCTAGCTCTCCCTGGCTACCTTCCGGCCTGGTGTTCCCGTCGACATGCTCCCTCTACGCTCCACCCTTTCTTGCTTGCTCTTAGTTTTTTTGAAACAGGGTGTCATCTAGCAAAGGCTGGCCTCAAACTCAAAATGCAGCTAGGAAGGATGACCCTGAACTCCTGATCCGCCTGGCACCACCCACCCACTAGTGTTCTGAGTTCGTACAGAAATGATGTGCCGTGGTTTCTGAGGGGCGGTGAGGGGAGAAGGTTTGAGGATGGCCCCTTGCGCAGCACTGCTGACCTGGTTCCCAAGGCTACCTAGTACCGTTTTGCTAAGCCTGAATTACTAAACAAGCAGACTGAAATGGAAGATGGATATTAGCTCCAAGAGTTATCTAGAGGGAAATTTCAACTCAAGAGAAGCCTCAGCAACACTGTTTATACATTAAAAAAAAAAAAAAAAAAGCATCAGCCATTCCAAGGAAATGAAAATTGGATGAAATACAGAATCCCAGGGAACGAGGCCTCGTTTCTCCTTTAAGCTAAAAAACAGGTTCATGGCATCCTTCAGAAATGGGCTTAATGGAGTGCAATATACTTATTAGACAGTAGTTTTGATTCCACTTTATACATATTTGTGTGTATACACACAATATGTGACTTCAGCTCTAACTCATCTGCTCAGTTCTTCCCCACGGGAGAATCAGGAGCCTCAGGCTCCGACAGTCTGTGCTGTGGCAGGCAGTTCGCATAGCTTCTGTGGTTTGGTTTCTCCACTAGCTTGTGAGGTACTAATGCCTACCTCCCGGGGTTGCTTGAAAAAGAAAGGAGCTGATGAGCTATCGCATCGATTCCGAGACTCGTACTTATGCACATTTAACGTTGGTGCGCTCAAGATGCACTTCACAACCAATAAAAAGACAGGATTAAGATGGCAGCCATCTTTCCTCTTTAGCACTACCTCAAAAATGCTAAGGGGCCCTAAGGATGACTGACAGCTGCGATCCCAAGGGCATCAGTAAAGAGCTCAGGGGATTATGCATGAAGTCAAAGCTGTGCTGCTTTACGCCTAAGCATTGCTTCAAGTTCTGATGACCCTTCACCTGGAAGTTCATGATGTTGTTGAAGGTGCGGGCGGAGGTTCCCTCTGTGAATGGGGTTTTCCCGTAAACCATCTCGTAGGCAACCACTCCCACAGACCACCAGTCACAGTCCGGGCCGTAGCTGCCTCTCCGATCCCCGTTCATCACGGTCAACACCTCAGGAGCCATGTAATCCGGGGTCCCAATGGGGAGTTTGGCATCCACCTAGATACCCGTAAACAAGAGGAACACAGCACACTCTCAGTTACCCTCCGGTAGGTGCCAACACCGGCATCAGACACCAGCCGATTTGCCACTGATTACCTTGCTGCCTGCGAATTGACTCTCTGTCAAGCGGCACACACTATCAAAAAACGCCAAAGCTTTACTAACTTGTAAAAAGAGGAGACATTATACAGCCCAAAGGCAAACAGATAGGGTTTACTGATGACGTATACTGTTTCATTACACAACTGTTTGAAGATAGATTTCCTAGTACAAGCTACTGCTACACCAGAACTTCTGGTTGGCAGGACAGAAGGGCTGAGACTCAGGGCCCTGTATAAGATAAACAAGTACTCCGTCCCCAATGAAGCTACATTCTAAACTCATAGAACTTCTTTAACTCAAAAAACAAAAACAAAAACAAAACAAAACAAAACAACAACAACAACAAAAATATATATATATATATATATATAAAATGGGACCTGGGGAGATGACTCAATTGGGAAACTACTTCCTGTGTTGAGCAAGAAGACCTCAGTTCAAAGAACTGAATGTGGGGGTGAGCTATAATCCCAGCACTGGGAAGGCTCAGCTGAGGGGACGCCAGGGGCTTACTGCTAGCCAACCCAGGTAAATTGGTGAACCCCGGTTCAGTGAGAGACCTTGCTTCAAAAAATAAAGTGAGAGAGCAGAGCTTTGTTGACCTCTGGCCTCCACATCCATGCACATCCAGATGTGAGCACAGACATACACCACACAAGCAGAGAGAGAGAGAAGAGAAAAACAACAAAATGATAATTAAGCCTAAACATGGATCTATGGTAAAGATCAACCCATTAATGAGAAACTGTGGGCTAGCTGGCAACACAAAAACAGCATGAGGTCGGACAACATTTCAAGTCTGGGAGAAAAAAAAAAAAAAATGGAAACCGGCCTTGGGATGTTTCCTACTTCAGCCCACCTGCAGAGCACAGTGTGATGAGTAGGCGCCACCCAGGCTGCATGTTAATGAGTTCACCTGCCTCATTCCCCACTCCTGTTCCTATGGTCCTCTTCCTGTTTGGAAATGCTGTCCCTGCAACCCAGCAGGGCCCAAGCACTGCCCTTGGCAAAGGCAGACCAGGACACCGCAGGAAGTCTTTCAATAGAGCCATCCGCATTCCATTACAGTGACCGGCCTCATTTCCTAAGACTTTCTGTTTTAGTGTTTAATGCCTTTGTTTCTTGAAATGATGATGCTGATCAAAGAATTAGACTCCCTGACCCTCACTGGGGGATTCAGCAAGTCGGCAATCCCTTTGATCTTCAAAACTGTTTTTCAAGTTTTACTGAGCATGAAATGTGAAGGTCTAAAGACACCTGTCTGTCCTCCTGCCCATCAAAGCAGAGAGGCCTGACTTCAGATATACAAAGCTGACCGCTGCCCTGTCACCACGGCATTTGTGGCCTCCTCTTAAGTCAGCAGTTAGACAGTGCAGAAAAATCTCCTTATTGTGGGATAAAAAGTATACCTAACAGAACTCAAAGATCTGGGGGATGTGGTCACACTCCCTTAAGGCTGGACTGCATATCAAGAAAGCAGATTTAGGCCAGGCATGGCAACATAAGAGTTCTGTTCTAGGCTTGCATAGCAAGAGGAAGAAGGAGGACAAGGAGGAGGAGAGCGAAGGCAAATCTGCTTTGATTTGATTTCAGAGTTTTGGGAGGAAGGGGAATTTTAGAGCCTGGCACTATAAAACCGCCTTCCCCAGTGATGGGATCAAATGAGGCTCTTTCAACTATGACTTCAAGCTTTCCCATCCTCCTACCCAAGGAATGAGATTATCTATTAATTCTCTCATTCCCCCACTTTTATACTTTACTTTAGTATGTGTGTGTGTGTGTATATATATATGAGCATATTAAACATTCCTGTGATTATCCCATTCCTTTTTCACATGTACATGTAACAGGACTATCAGAATATTCCTATAGTTTTCATAGTCTTTCTCTTATGTATTTACAGACACACATACACACATGTATGCGTAATACAGGAACACTGAAACCATTCCTGTAAATCTCCCATCTCCTCTCCTTCCACCCTTTCCTCGGGCCCACACTCTCGTGTAGGTTTTCCTGGCCTCAAGCACAAAAGGTAGTGATGCTGGTATGTCTGACACTGATTTCTGGCAACAGCATTTCACTACAAGGACCCATCTGAGAACGCTCAAAAGTCACACCAAATGAGAAACAGGAAGGCCTGTGCCAGAGGCAATAATGAAGACACAGAGACATACTGGGTCTAACAGAGGCACAGTGTGGCTTAACCTTGACCCCAGAAGTAGCCAGGGAAGGCCCTAATCAGCAGCCTGGGCTTGCTGGTTCAATGCCTAATTGTCTTACAAGAGTGGGAGCCACAGTTGTTAGATAAACATCATTTGCACAGGTTAGGGTCTATTTTACTGCCACACGGGATGTTCCAGGATATTCTGTCCTCCTTGTTTGCAGCTGACGGGACATGAGCACTTGTTCATATCCAAGGAGATGACTTAATAAACTTGACTGGGCCAAGTTTACTAAGGTGACCCGCTCAAAGGGTACAAACTGTCAACACCTCATTTCTAAACCAATGATCAAAGATTCAGATAATCCTGTAACTGTTCTTATCTCAGAATAGAAATGTAAAGACATATTTACATATACATATAGTCTAATAACTATCTAAATTCCATTAACAATTTGTGCTAGAAAGCTACAAAAGCAAAACTACTTTTTGTTCTCCACATTGCTTCAATCATGGTGCTTACGAGCAATTAATAGAAGGTTCGAGCGATGAGTTTCCATTAGCCACTGACTCCAAGCATCACTTGATCTCACAGGTGCTAATACCTCCCCTTGTGCTCTCATTCTCCCCAGCTAATCTGGGTAAGATATTCAAAGTGTCCTGGGCACTCCATCTGCCCAGGCAGCGACTGACTGGGCCCAGGCATACTCACCTTTAGCTCTCACTCTGCTGACAGAGAAAATAAAAGCCAGTTCAATAGAGACAAAAGAGCAAGAAACAGAAGTACCTGCCATATTTTAGGAAGACGGGGGGAAAAAGAGGGAGGGATGGGGAAAAGCAAAGGAAACCTGAAGATTCAGCAGCTTCTTTCAAGAATAAAATGGAGGGGCTGGAATGACAGTTCTGTGGTTAGGAACACGTGCTGAAGCCAGGAGGTTGTGGTGCATACCTTTAATTCCAGCAAAGGCAGGTGTATATTTTTTGAGTTTGAGGCCAGCCTGGTCTACACAGTGAGCTCCAGGACAGCCAGGGCTACACAGAAAAACTTGTAGGGACATTTTTGAGAATTCTGGAATTTTGGTTTCTTAAAATATGTAAGAACGTGCTTTCGTTTTAACCCGAGGTATAGGAATATGGGGCTGCTTCAGACTGTCCGCAGCAGCTGACTGTGATTTGCCGCCTGCTCTAGCAGAGGGGTGGTTTTGCCAGCTGCCAATAATTTCTGCAATGGTGTGACCTTTGGAATTCTGAGAACTTTTCAGAGGGTATATAAGGGCCCCCGAGGACTGTTGGGTGGTTGTTGGTTGCTTATAGAGGTTGTTTTCAATTTGGTCAAAGAAGAAACAAAAGGGGAAAAAAAATAGATTCAGGGATTGCTCTCTCTCTCTCTTTTCCCCTCCATCATTGTTTCTCTCCTATCTAGTGAGTAAAGGTTGGGAAAGAGAAGAAAACCTCCAAGTAGCAAAGACCAGCTACAGAAACCTTGTCTTGAAACACCAAAAAACAAAAACAAGAAAGGACACGTGCTGATCCTACCGAGTTTCTGAGTTTGACTTGTAGCTCCCACATCAGGAGCTCACACACCTGTAACCAACACCCTCTCCTGGACTCTGCAGGGATTGCACACCCATATGCACATCACCACGCACATACACAGCATGTTTAAATAAACTTTCAAAATAAATTAGGGGAGGAAACTAGCCTCTCCTGTCTCTCAGACCAAAGGCTGAGATGTGAAACTATTGAAACAACTTTACCTCCTAGCATACACACACACACCTGCAGAAGTAGGTGTAAATTTTCATTTCTCTAGTTTCTGGCTTTAGAGCTGAGAAAACCTACACCAGCAGAGTGTGGGCCTGAAAGAGGAGGTGGTGGAAGAGGGGACAGCAGAGCCACAGGAGTGATTTCTGTATGTCTATACTATATTCCTGCTTGTGTCTATAAAGACACAAGACAGGGAAGAGGGAAGTAACAGGAATGGAAGAAATCTTGCTCCGACATGACCATGAAAAGACTATGCCTATGTGTTTCCAGCGTCTGGAGAACTGACTAGAACAAGTGCTCTACTTTATTTACAAACCCTTTGCTTCACAACAAGTGGAGAGGGAGGCAGAAGAGCCAGGTTAGCTGTCGGCCCTCCTCTGCAAGTCTAGTAAGGAAGTGTGTCTAAGTCACACAGAGGGTCCTGAGGTCACGAGGCCCACGGTCCTGCTAACGTAAAAACCACTAAACCCATCTTCTGAACAAGAAGCTTGATGTAAAGACAAGAGCTAGGGAAAAACTCAACTCATGTAGGATTCACTAATATCCAAAGTGCAAGAGGACATCTGGAAATGGAAGGAGACAAGCGGATTTAGCTCGCAGAAGTCCAGCAGACATAAACCTGTGTGTTTATGTGAGGGGAGGCCACAGGACAAGCTGAGCATCTTCACTTTCCACCTTAATTTCTTACATTCCTGCCTGTGAGTGTGTGTGTGTCCGTAAGTACATGCCTGTGCACGTACACACACACACACACACACACAAACACATACCACAGCACCAGTGTGTGGAGGTCATAGGGCAGCTTGCGGAAGTCAGCACTCCCCTTCCTGCAGGCGGGTCACAGGGATAGAACCCTGGCTGTCAGGCTTGGCGGCAGGCACCTGCTGAGCCATGTTGCCAGCCCCCTGCCTAGATTTTTGAGACAGGGACTCTCACTGAGCCTGGACCTGACTGCTTCAACGGGGCTAACTGAGCAACCATTCCAGAGAGGCATCTGTCCCAGGCTTCCCAGAGCTGGGATTCCACCACGCCAGACTTGCTCACCTGGGGTTGAACTCAGGTCCTTGTGCTTACAAGACAGGACTTTACCAAACAAGCCATCTTCCCAGACTATATTTTTATAGTTTAGCTATAGTACAGAGAACAGAGAACCTACACTAGGCCTATAAAGTACCTGACCACGTTCAGCTCTCTGCCCGCCATTGAGCAAAGAGACGAAACAAGATACTTTGGTGTAGATTCTAAATGGCTGCTCTTCTACAATAAAAAGACCTTTACGTATAACACATTAAAGGAGCTGGGGAGATGGCTCAGTGGGTATGGCAGTGTAAGCCGGAGGGCCTGAATTTTAGGTACAGAACCCACAGAAAGCTTCTGAAATCCCAGCACTCCTACTGAGAGACATGGGTGGAAGGGACACATCCCGGGAACCCACAGGCCAGCCGGCCTGTTACTGAGAAGCAACAGCAAAGAGATCCAAACCAAAGAAGGTGGGAAGCATGGACTGATGCTGGAGGTCATCCCAACTTGCACGTACATACATACCACACACACACACACACACACACACACACACACACACACACACACACACCACATGAAATAAAATGCTAGCAATCTACTAAACTTGTCCTCATCTGGCCCTAAAAGCACAGGTAGGAGAAAAGTACAACGCTCGAGTGAGTCTGAGCACCCTGACTCCTTAACCAAAATAAACCCGAGTGTGGAGCAGAGGCTGCAGCAGGAACTGAAGAAGGCTGCTTGAAGTGCTGCAAGATGAAAACCTGAAATGATCAAAGCTCTGCAGAGAGCAACTCCAGCTGCAGGGCTGGAGTTTACTTTACAATAGTTCACTATGTAGCAGTGGCTGGCCTAGAACTTGCAGTGTAGACCAGGCTGTCCTCTAACTCACAGAGATCCTCTGCTTCTGCTTCCCAAGTGCTGGGATTACAGCAGGAGCTGCCAGTCCCAGCTCACGGCCTTACTCTTTACTCTCTATTTACTGAGCAGCAATGGTAAATCATAATCTACTTTTTTCCCGTGGGCTTTTCTTACTGCAGACACATATTGTCAACTCTAATTATTTCATCTTCTGATGCTTCTCAATTTACAGTAGACATTTGCAACCCAAGGTGGTTTTTCTTCCCCAGGGTGGTTTTTCTTCCTCCACCCCACGGTTCTCTGGGAGAGCTGAGGATAACTGAGGGAGGGGGTATTTGGATAATCAGTAGAGATCAAGGATTTAGCTAGACACCCAATAATACACAGCACAGCTCCCACAACAAAGAATTAGCCAGACCCAAATGGTAAGGGTGAAAGGTTTTACTCTCAGACTGTGAACCTATACTGTAACTGTTTTCTAAGCAATTTAGTTTATTAATGTCACTAATACAATTTGTGAGTTTCTGAATCCTAGGAAAGTTTTTTGCTTTTTAATTTATTTCCTGTGTTTTACACCACTAAGTTCAATGTCTGGTCTCTCATATCTGTTTCTGAATTGTATATTACATGGGGTGGGAAGGGAGTAAAGGTGCTGTAGATGGATCTGAGGGTCTTACCCCGTGTAAAGAGCATTCTCCATCTCTGTGGTTTTTCCAAACATCCTTAATGCTGTTTATTTTAGAGTTTAAAATATGAAATGGTCTGATTCTACCATTCTTTTCTTAAATTTTTGTATTATGTCTATTAATTTATTCTCTGTGTGTATATGCACATGCCACCATGCACATGCTGGGGTCAGAGAACAATTTGTGGGTTGAACTGAGTTTTCTTCCTTCTACTATGTGGGCCCAGGGATCAAACTCAGGTTATCAGAATTGTCAACAAGTGCCTTAACACATTGAGTCTCACCAGCCACTGCTTACATAATTCTGAATATGCTAACTAAGTAAATGAATTATAAGACTATAACCCGAGGTGCTAAACAGATGGCCCAACTGTTAACATTGGCTGCTCCTTTAGAGGAGCCAAGTTCCAGTCCCAGCACTCAGGCCAGGAAGCTGTAGGGGATCTGTTGACCTCTTCTGGCCTTCTCAGGCATACACACACGTGGCACACATTCACACAGACTCACACACACAAATAATAATAATAATAATAATAATAATAATAATAATAATAATAATAATAATAATAATGTGCACACCTTTAATCCCAGCACTCGGGAGGCAGAGGCAGGTGGATCTCTAAAGTTGGAGGCCAGCCTGGTCTAGAGGGCAACTTCCAGGACAGCCCAGGCTTCACAGAGAAACCCTGTCTTGAAAAACAAAACTAATTAATAATAATTTATAATAACAATAGCAACAAAGTAAGTTTAAAAAAGAACAAAACCGGAAAGGAAAAAAGAAAAAAAAAAATTAATGCTGGATTGCGTTTGGACAGCATGGAGGTGCTCTGGTTTTCCTAGAGGCCTAAATGCTAAGTAAGTTGCCTCAGGAAGTTCTCAGGTCTGCGAGCACACAGTCCACATTCCAAAGTGCACAGAGTTAGCGCAGCTCTGAGCCCTTTCCTAATATCAACCTAATAATACCCACCTTTCCCAGAGGATTCTGGGGATGAAAAAGTAATTTTACATATTGTCCTTCATATAAAAGACTTCAGTCTCAGACCTGGCAGGCATTTTTATGCATTTTAAGTAGAATCTGCATTTTCTAGAGAAAGGATGAGAAGCCAAGCTCCTCAGGATTTGCTCGAGTCACCGAGAAGCTCAGGCTCAAAGCCTAAGCCGACTTTTCCCTCAGACCACACAGCCGACCTCAAAATTCACATTTTAGAATGAGCCAACTTTATTAGAGGATCCTTAATTCTCTTTCTTCTTAACTTTGTCATCTTTCTTGAAAGCAGCCTCAGCCTTGATCTCAATTGCTCCTCTCCTGGCTTCCTAATTAGCATGAAGAACACAACTTAACTTTTACCAAAGGTCCAAGACTTGAAAATGGCACTTTGAACATTGGTTCTTGACACTTCCGAGATATTTAGTTCAAAGTCTCTAGTGACTAATTTCAATTTTGCTGCATATGGACAGCATTTAAGGAGAAGGTCATGTTTCATCAAAATATTTTAAAGTAAAACAAGGTGATGTACCAGAAAACTATGTCTTTAAGAGTTAAGGGAAAATAAAATTCTTACTTTTTTTTAAGGAAAACGTAAGACTACTCATCCAGATTGTTGGCAGGGGACTGGCAGGCATTAAACAAAAAGGCCTCACTGCCTGGGACACAGCTCTGTGTCCCAACCCCTATCCTGACTCCCTAGAAGAGACAAACACTGACAGATGAGGCTCCGAAATACTGCTCACCACTGTATCCTAATATCAGCCAAATTTATAAGGACCACAGAATGCTCTAGAGCATAGCACACGTGCACGCACACACACACACCGTCCCACACAACTAGCATAACCCCCCTGAGCTGTCCCACACCACTTTCTAATCACCTTATTGGAATTCATTTTAGCAGCTGATCCAAAATCCACCAGCTTGATGTGTCCCATTCGGTCGATGAGGATGTTTTCTGGCTTGATGTCTCTGTGGGAAAGGCAAGGCCTTAAATTAAATTGTCTTTGTGTTGATCAACAAGTAGTTACAAACCTCAGGCCTCTGTTCAGCCAAAAATCTTAGTTTATGTATTATGTTACGTAGACCATTCTTACTGGGAGATATGAATGACTGTTACCCATCTGGAAAGATTAACTTATTAAAAGGGAGAAAGAAAAAGAAAGCAAATGGGATGCTATTTGATGGATTATTTCTACTGTAGGCTCACATTCTTATATTACAAAAACTAAGAGAGAGAGAAAAAAGACTAAAGGACTTGCTCAAGGTCATATGGGTCACAAATGGAAAAATCTTTATCCCTAATTCTGTATCCCCGAAATATATATATATATACACAATATATGTGTGTATATATACACATATATACATATATGCATGTATGTAGACCATTCTGAGATCTACGTGAAAATCAGACAAGTGGGGATGTGAAGAGACATCTGAGTGGAGGATTCTGCAGACCATCCTTGCAACTTACTAAAGCGGGCAGTTAGAAGCATGCCTCGGCATGGAACCGCCCTCCAAATGCCCAATGTTACAGGCTTGGACCTCATCGTGACACAACGGGGTGATTGTGGGACCCGTAAGAGGTGGGACCCATAAGAGGTGGGACCCAGTGGGGAATCGGCAGGCCACTGGAGACCTGCCCTCTGCTTTAGACACTTCTCATCAACGAGGAAACAACTTAGGAAAGAGAAGATTGCCGTAAGGCCAGATGCAGAGGTCTGAGTCCACAGCAGGTGGCTTTGTTGCTTTGAGCCTGCTGGGGCGGAGGATCGTGGCAACAGGAGTGTTACAGAGCAAAGTAGCTCACTTTGTGATGAACAGAAAACAGACAAAACCAGAGAACGGGGACAAGGAACACATTCCAAAGGCACCCTCCAGGGATCTGCTTCCTCCAATCAGCCCCTCCTTCCAGTTATTAGAACTTCCTAAAACAGCAAAATATATCAATCCATTAAGGAAGTCAGGGCCTCATGACCCGATCACCTCAAGCATCACGGCAGGCAAATCAAGACCCACGAGCCATGAAGGGAAATTTTGGAGTCAAACTATCTGCTTCCCGTCTCCTCCTGTCTCTTTTTGTGTCTTGGCCATAAGTGGGGTGTTCTTGCTCTACCATAGGCTTCTACCAAATGCCCAAAGCAACAAGACAAATGAAGAATGAAACCTGCAAATCAGTGTGCCAAAACAACCCTTTCTCCACTCGCTAGGTGCAGTAATAGAATGCTGGCTGACAACTCCTGCTACTTACCATCTTTTGTTCCTGGGTCACATGCCAGTCCCTCTCCCAGTCAGTCCGTTTTCTACCATAGAACGCAAAGGGCCCAGGAAAAGGGTTCCTGACCTTACTAGCTACATCTGAGAGCCAGCTCTTTCTTGCAAACAGGCACACCGTAGTCCTAAGTGGAGTTAAGTGGATAGTGCTAAGTGTTGGCCATTTTGGAAAGCCTTTAGCCAATCACTGCCCAAGCTGGGGAAAACTAGAGGAGAATTTCTTTTGAGCCAGGAGTTACTCGGCCACTCAGTTGGTGTGACTCAGGGAAGTTCGCGGTCACCCCAGGCGTCCCGCTTACCGATGCACGTATCCCATCTGGTGCACGCTGTGCACGGCCAAGATCAGCTCAGCAAGGTAAAACTGGATCATAGCTTCATCTAATTGGTCCTCATATCTATTCAGAAGTGACAGTAAATCTCCTCCAGGCTGATATTCCATGACCTGAGGAGAATGCCAGAGTTATTCCTTTTCACACACCCCAAATAAAGAACACCTCAATTAGACCCTCAAACAACACCTGACAACGTTGTAATCACGATGCCTCTGTAAAGCAATGAAGATGTGTGACATATCCTAAGACACAGGATAGGGTCCCGGCCCTACAGAAATTGCATTCGTTGACCCAAGAGGTTGGAGAGATGCAAGAACAGCCACAAACACTGTGCATGATGCTTGCAAGGCAAACCTGTGGCGCTGAATTACATCCGCCTCCTCTGACACTCATTCAAGCTGACACCCCAGACATTCCCTAGGATCAGGTACACTGTATCGATGGATATTCCTGCAGGGCAGCAAACGTGCTAACATTCATTTTGCGTTCCTCTCAGCATACAGGAGGCGTGCGGTAAATGCAATGCAATCTTCCCCATTTACAGTCAGTGTGGAAGGCAGCTGGTGGTCTCTATTAAAAATTTAACAATGAATATATACCCTTTGACTTCGCTATCCCACTCTGAACAATTTACTTTATTGGTACTTATAATTCATAGACAAAAGATAAATAAGTAAATAGATTATCTACTAGATGGTTTATAACAAGGGAAATATACTTGGAAATCATCCAAATTCCCATCCTTAAGAGACTGGCTAAATTATGATTCCTCTAAATCATGGGCTATGACTCAGATATTAAACGCACATGATTCTAGCTATTCACGCTACCGTGGAAAGCTGTCCATATCACAGAAAATGACATTCTGTACAGGATAGAGAACAGCCTCCCTTTTATCAGAAAAAAAAATTAATTTGCTGACGTATATAAGAAACAAATCAGAATATACAACCTCACAGCTAAAATGCTTGCTTAGAAAATTCCACCTCAAGGGAGTAAAAACCATCAATGCAAGCGTGTGTGTGTGTGTGTGTGTAATATGCACACACAAGCATTTGTATATGTGTAAGTGTAGGTACACACCTGCCATGACACAACGGTGAATGTCAGAGGACAATGACAGGTGCCTTGTCAGGGCCTCTGTGGTTTGCCACTACCCCAGCCTCAGCCTCCCACCTCCCCACAGGAGCACAGGGCTACTGATGTTCACAGTCTGCATCTGGCTTTGCACAGATGCTGGAGATTCGAACCCAGTCCCTCACACTTGCACAGCAAGCACTTTTTACTCCCTGAGCGAAATCCCCAACCCTCCATCTTCTGAGAACCAGATGTGACATTCCCTTGTCAATGTATGACCTGAAGGCTGGTTAGCTTGGTCTGACTCACCTGATGACTTCACTTCTTAACCTTTCATGGTCCTCTGAAAACTCCAGATAAGACTAATCCCCATGCAACCCTGCCTGATGATTGAGCAAGGCCTGAACGGGCCTGGCTCAGTGCCTGGAACCAACCTGAGGTCCAATTGTCCTTCCCCTCCCCTCCCTGTGTGGTTCTTTCCTGGCTGGAGAGAATCGAGGGCCCATTTGGCTGCCACTCTGGTTGTTCTCCTAGGAGCTCTCCGCCCTTTGCTCTAATGTCCATTTTGTTGGCCAGTGTCAGCGTGTGTCCAGTCCTCTCCAGAAAAGGACATGTTTCAATACACTTCTGTCAAGAAACGCTAAATCTACTGTGATGTTCATCTCAACTGTCAATCTGGCTGCACATAGGATCACCATGGAAACACACCTATAGGGGGCTGTCTGTGAGGGAATTTCCAGAAAGGTTTACCTGAACAGGAAAGGCCCTCCTTGAAAGACCCATCTTGAAGGAAGGCAGCTGGGGCCTTGGACTTAACCTTGACTGCAGACACAGTGAGACACGCCATGGACTGGGGTCCTGCCCTGAGGAGGCAGCTGAGCGCCAGCATTTCTCTCAGCATTCCTGACTGCAGTGTGGGCAGCCACCTCACCCTCCTGCTGCCGGGCCTTCCCACCACGAGGGACCTAACGCTCAAGTAAAGCCTTCTAGCCTTCACTTCTTACCAATAATTTAGTCACGGCACTGAGCAAAGTAACAGATATACTCAATCCTACAAGCCAGTTCTGGAAGGCAAATTCTGTTTTCCTCCCAGCTGCGGTTTGTCTTTCCTGTAGTCCAGAAAACTCTAGGCAAGTGTGGTGGCTAACCATGGTTGCCAACACCTGGGAAGGGGGACCCTCGCTGAGGGATGAACTGAGGGATGCCCCATCATGCCCCACCCATGGCTGGTGGGCATGTCCGGGTAGCGTTTCCTTGAGTCCCAGCTCACTGTGGGTGGTACCGAGGCAGGTGGGCCTGGGCTGTAGGGAGGCAGCTGGGTGTCAACCTGAGAACAAGCCAGGAATTCCTACTTCAGCTCCTGTTTGAGCTCCTTTCAGTGGTGCACTGTGACCTGGAAGCAGTAGATGAAATAAACCTTCCCTCTCCCACTTGCTTTTCGTTTGTGGTGGTTTTTGAAGCAACAGAAAGCTAACAGAGCAAGTCAGATGGGGAGATTCTGTAAAGGTCCACAGAGACCCAGGACTGGTCATCCTAAAGACTACATGTAGTTCACCCACCACCAGACCAGCCCAGACGCAGATAACCGTGGCCAGGGACGCACACAGCCTCTCATAGCCTGGGAACGTGGCCTCTTACACCCTACACACACAGGACAACTGCCCTGGCAAAGCAAGATGCCATTTTTTTTTTTTTTACCAAAGCTGCTAAAAGCAAATTGGTTCACCAAGAAGTATGACACCTAGAAGGGGTAAAACTATTTCCTCCAAATTCACAGCCAACGGCAATGACGTCAGCTACTCACCTCAGCCCCAGAGGAGCCCACAGGAGCCACCTGGCTTGCTAGAGCTCACCCACTCATCCCAACCTGGTTCTCCACAGGCCTGGGGATGTGGGTGAATGCTAATTTGTACGTCTGCTTTAAATATATATTGCCATTAAAAGGGTCTTAAGCAGCAAAAGGAAATTCACAGATAATAGCAGACGCACTCATACTTTCAGAGCGCAAATGGTTTAAAATAAGAACAATGCATATTTATGATGACACATCGCTGTAAAAGACTTTTGGGCTCTGGTATGTGAGAACCAGAATGGCTTCTAAGTTTAAGGCTGAGAAAGTCAACACTACGGCAACCATTGGCAACTCTGGTGAGCTCATGAGCTCAAACACTGACTGCTACTTAGGACTTAGTGCCAACTCCTGAAGATTCTATTTGGTAGAACCAGCAGAAATTTTGAGAAAAATTAGTATCTCTTACAAAGGGGAAAAGTTCATCACTCCCTCTTTTCAAGATGTCCACCCAAACTATGTCAACCTCTCATGTATTCAGAAGCCAGGACTGATTGGGGAAACAAGCCACAAAAATTACAACGGCTGCTAGCTGGTATGCTCCATGACACACAGGGCCAAAACAGACAGCCTAAACGACAAACATCTGACTAGGACAGACCTTTATCAGAGAGTCTAATCAAACCACATGAACCAACACAATCCCCAATTAGCATACTAAAATATCCAACTGCATGATATCAGAACTGCTGTGGACATTCACTGAGTCACTCTGAGGATCTCGAGACATTAGCCATGGTCTGTAACTACTCTACGGAATACAGGGAGAGCCCACGTGGGAGACGGTCCGTGTGATGTACAACCAGTTTAACCAGTTACCATGCTGTTGAACTTAGACAGATGATAAAGAATCAGGATTTGGGGTCTTTCAGAAACACCTTGGGACTGTGAAAGATGGTAGCAAACCAAGAGTCTATCAAAGTCCTCAGCAAATGTCACAAACTAAGAGTCTTCAAGACTGGCTGTGACCCAGAGACAAGGACCAGAAAACATTATGAACTAATGAAGAACAAAGTCGCCACCTACGATGTGCTAGAGCCCACACGCAGCACCTGGTTTGGTCCATGAATGTGTTTCTGTCCCCAACTTTTGCTGCTCAGAGAGCTGGCGACACATGGATCTGCCTGTTACCCCCAAACTGTAGCTTCTAGACCGGGAAGGCTCTCAGTCCTTGACAGAGGGTTTTCAAGCCTGCTTGCCCGTCAGGGTTACTGGGAGGAGTGCTTTGCAAAAGTGTGGCATGAAGACAGAGAGATGGCCCAGCAGGTGAAGACACTTGCCACCAAGCCTGACAACCTGCGCTTGATCCCTGAGTCCCACGCAGTAGAGAAATGACTCCTGCACATTGTCCTCTGACCTCCACGCACGTGTCAGAGTATGCAGACACATTCAAAATAAGTGGTCCTCTGAAAGTAAGACGCTTTCATCCATAATATCTGAAGGCCTACTATGTGCTAGTGTTCTAAATATCAGGAATAAAAAAGGCAAAGAAAAAAAAATCCTGTGTCTTCATAGAGATGGCACTCCAATGGAAAGCAAAAGAATTAATTATTATGATGGTAATAAGAAAAATCATAGTAGAAGAGTATTTCTCCTTTTCAAAAATTCCACATACTCGGGGAATTTGCTAAAATATGAATTCCAGAGACTGACCAGCATCAATGCTCAAGCTCCACAGATCCCACTCTTGCCCTCAAACTTGACATCCTTCTGCCTCAGCCACCTGAGTCCTGGGCTTAGGAACATACATTACCACATCTGGTTAAGGAATGCACTTTCCCAAGCTATTTATTATATTACTTCTCACTGCTGTATATGTGAGTGTGGACACATGTGGAGGTCAGAGGACAACTCTGTGGGGTCAGGTCTCTCCTCCCGACCTTACATGGTTTCCAGGGCTTGAACTCAAATCATCAGGATTGCCGGCTGAGCCATCCCACAGGCCTGGAGAATGTGTTAATGGTCCCAAGCACCGGGATCATTATTGATGAGGTTACAGAACCAGTTCCGCTTCCTAATCCGGTCTTATTTGAAGTCTGCAGCAGCTTGCCCTTGAATGGGCCTTGGCTTTAATACAGCCATCACTTCTGCTTACATTTTTTTCAGTGACTACTCGAAGGCTTTCTGAATATCAAGACAAGCTCATAGACAATAAAGAGCTGGAAAATAACCAGGCCACTGGCA